AGCCAGTAGAGAGCAGAAAGCTAACACCGATGTTCACTGAGGGAAGCCTCTGCTGGAGCCACCCCAAAAAGTGAAATGAGTGATGAAATGAGGATGAACAGTTCGTCCAAATAGTCCTGAAAAGGTATCAAAGATGCCTTGCCAGTATCCATGTAGCTTTGGACAGGACCAGAATGTGTGCAGAAGTGTGGCAGGAGATTGTTTACAACGATCACACGTCGGGTCCAAGTCCCTTTTGAATTTGCACAATCTGTCCTTAGACCAGTGTAGACGATGTACTACCTTGAACTGAACTATAACATGTTTCACACATATTGAAGACGAATATATATTTTGAATAATTTTTTGCCAAACTGTGTCTGACATGGATTCCTCCAAGTCCATCTCCCACTTGTCCCTCAAAGAATCTAAACTGGAGTCAGAAAATGAGCTGAGCAGAGAATAAACTCTGCTCATAGAGCGTTTTGTTACAGACATCAGAATCTCATCTATAAGAGAAGTTGGGGGTCGTAGAGGAAAACATCCAAACTTCTCTCTTATCACAGCACAACAAAACATCAGTTTCCTCATTTTAAATTATACGTATGAGCAGCCCATTAATTACTGAAATGATGAAATAATTGAAGTAAAAAAAAGAAAGCCATATATGTGTCTGTGTGAGAGGAGGACGGCTGTTAAAGTCAGGTTTGACGTCATTGATTCAGTGAGCAACACTTCAGTCATTAGAGCTGTTATTGAAGCCAAACACACTGACTGATGACGCCTTAATAACTCTTCTCAGGCCAACCATGAAGCAATGACTCAACGGGGGCCCGCTTGGTTCATGACCTGCTGTAGTCAGGGTCCGTGTGCAGGAAAGGGGCTGCCCGAGTCAGCTACCATGGCTCATCGATATGAAGCTAAAGTTTAATGATGGAAGAAAACTATAAAGTTTGTAAGAGATTACAGATGTCTCTCTGGTCCAGTGACAGAAAATACTGGAGTTTGAACAGTTTCTTCTCTTTATTCCTCCAACTGGGATACATTGTGCTATGGCCTTAAAACCTTTGTGCTTTAAACAAACAATAAAAAAATATACTACCTAAGTTCCATTGCAGGTTAAAGCTCTATCCTGCACAGAAGAATCTACATGTAAACCCAATCCAGAAAACAAAACTCTTTAAAATGGGGAAGTTTTAAAGTGGAAAACCGTTTGGCTTTTTTTCAAATCTAAAAATAATTTTGGCAATTCATGGATGAAACAATCCTCCACACTAAAGAAGAGAGGGACCATTCAGTCTGTTATCACTGCACAGTTCTAAAGTCTGCCTCTCTCATGGTATCGGGGTGCATTAGTGCCTCTTCCATTTGCATCTTACACTGGAAAGGCTCCATCAATGAAGGAAAAATACATAAAGGTTTTAGAACATGTGCTCCCATTCAGATGGTTTGGTTTGCAATGAAAGGTTTTGCATATTTCAACACTTATTACAACAGCCTGCCTACACTCCAGACCGTCTACTGATTAAAACATTTTATGTGTAATGAAACGAAAAACACGGATAAGACTCAGAACTGTTGGATCCTCTAAGGGAACAACATTTCCCTCCAAAAACGTCAGTAGCTGGTCTCAGTTCTGTTAGAGGAGACTTTTAAATCCTTCCTTTTCACAGTTAAATCCTTCAGTTTGGGTCTGTATAAAGTGAAACTGCGATGCTTCGGTCTGAATTCCTTCTTAGTGTAACTACAGATCAACTCGTTTTGAGGCTGTCTCTTTAAATCTAAAGACTCTTCACCGCCCCCCCCCCCAAAAGCTTCTAGACTGGTTCATTCTAGTCTGATAGAGAGATTTACTACTGCTCAGAAAATTTATTTACAATTTAATTTAAAAATGTCAACTACATATAACATGTCCATCCAGCCTCACATGTTGGAGCCGGAGTCTGACCCAGAGCCAGAGGAGAATGAAGACAGGGTGGGCAGGGGTGTGTGTGCGGGGGCACTGGTACTGAAATATGATTGGCCACCCTGACCGGCCACCTCCACCAGTGCTGTCAATCAAAAAGAAAAAAAAATTGTATAGGTCTTCTGGACGGGTTCTTCTCTAATGAAACGTTTCGTCTCTCCTCCAAGAGACTTCTTCAGTCTGAGAGTTTCAGGCAAAATTCAGGCTTTTAAGCACTACCTCCATGTGACTGATACTCACATCACATGGCTATCATTGACACCTAATTAACACTTATTGTTAACAGGGGGTGGAGTGATACTGGCAATAGCAGCGCTGTAGGAGGGGGACAGCTGAAAACGAAGGCCTCCACCTCTGTTTAATGATGGACGGTCTTTCTTCACAAAAATGGCTTCTTTTACTCCTCTCTCAAACCAARGTTCCTCTCTATCAAGAATGAGAACATCCTCATCTCTGAAAGAGTGACCGCTGGCCTGTAAATGAGTGAAAACTGCAGAGTTCTGGTCATTAGATGTAGCTCGTCTGTGTTGGGACATTCTTTTGAACAGTGGCTGCTTTGTTTCCCCGATGTATAACTGGTCGCAGTCCTCCTGGCACTTAACAGCATATACAACATTGCTCTGTTTGTGCCGGGGCACCGGATCTTTGGGGTGAACCAGCCTTTGCCGTAATGTGTTTTGGGCTTTGAAAGCCACTGGGACATTATGTTTAGAAAATAAACGTCTCAGTTTCTCCGAAACACCCGCAACATACGGAATAACCACTGGTTTGGGTCTGGYTTTGGGGTCTTCATTTTCACCTGAAGGTTGCATGGAATCCTGTCTGTGTTTCCTGTCTGCTTTCAGGAAAGCCCAGTCAGGATAACCACACTGCTCCCCACTTGGAGGAGAGACGAAACGTTTCATTAGAGAAGAACCCGTCCAGAAGACCTATACAATTTTTTTCTTTTTGATTTTTTACCTGGATCACTGAGATGCATCAGGACAATGTTGTCAATCAATTTCTTTGTAGCGCACATAGATTAATTGTGAGGATTTCACACCCACACCCCTGATTGGTTCTGGCAGCTAACAGGCAGCAGCTGGTGGCGATCTCCTTGATGAGCCACTGGGCTTTATAAGGCTTCCTCTGAGGACACAACAACGCTGGAACATATCATACACTTGGTTGGACCCCTTGTGGATTTTACCCCTTGTGGATTTTTACTGTGTGCTCATCTGTTCATACGCCTACCTGCCTGCCTACCTCAACGCCGACCATCTCCTCAAGAGCCAAAACAAATATCATCTGTAAATACTCACCTGACTCATCGTGCACTCCTGGACTTCCCTCTCCTCCATTCCTCGTGGTCTTCTCCAATCCGTAAGCTACAAACAAACAACAAGATAAATTCTAAATCTCACTCTGCTCAAACCTACAACTAATTCAACTCCTTCCTGTCATCAACAGTGAAACCCTGGACCTACCCCTTCCCCTTTCACTTGTAAATAAACATTCACTATTTTGTATTTCTGGCCTCCTGAGTCTGATTACTTTCTGGTTGCACATTCTTGACAATTTGTTAAACCCTGATATTAATGTTTCAAATTGGAAGCTTCTTACCAGTTGGTGGGAGGTAATGCTCCATTAAGTTGTTTGTTAGCCACCAATAATCCTTTATGTGTTGTAAATATTATACAGAAACTCTTGTAAATCAATTTTAATGCACTTCTTACACTGAAAGCACAGACAGACTGATGTAGTGAGATTATGATGTATCCAAGTTTTCCAGATTTTTAATGGACTGCATAGTTGTAGTGTGCAAGATGCATCCATGTATTATAGTTGGGTAAATAAAAAGTTTGGTTATTCAGATTGTTGCATACTGTTAAAAATTCAAGATTGCAGAGAATTTAGATAAAACAGCAACTTTAATGTGCCAAATTACAGCATGTGCCCTGGCCTGGCCCCCGCAAGAAAAAAATCTAGACACACCCCTGCTAAAGAGATCTCAATTGTTCATGAATTTTTATGATTATTTTTCTATTTCAGGAAAATTTAATATTCTAAAAGAAGATGGACTTGCGACCTGTCCAGGGTGTACCCCGCCCCTCCTACTGTGACTGCTGGATATGGGTACCAGTGACCCCTGTGACCCTGAAAAGAAGAAGCAGGTATAGATAATGGATGGATGGATAAAATAAGAATAAAAGTTTCAGATAAGCTGGACATTTTGATATAAAATGGATAAAATAGCACAAAGTATGCAGGGATAGATTGCGATGAACATGGAAAATAAAGAGGCCAGGAAAACAAACTATTCACAATAAACAGCGATTCAGATAAATCTTCCCCTCAGACCCTGCAGCTCCTGAAAACAGATTCAGCTGCCAGATGGTGACCTCGCAGTGGTCATCTCTAAATCTGAGCTTCACTTCAGGCTCAGGTTGAACATATTGAATTTTAAAATTCTCTTTTGTTTTTTTAGTGGGGATGGAGGAGGTTTTTTTCTGTATCTGTGCAGAAACTCTACACTGGCTAAAGTGGGCTAACTTTAGCCTCACAGCCCAGCCGCTCATTATGCTGCATTAAATTATGACCAGTTTCGCTTTGCTGCCAACATCTATAAAACGCCTCTCACTCTGCTGAGCTGCAAACTCTGTTTGGATTGTGGCACGCGGGTCCTGCACGTGCAACTTTATTATTTGTTTTTTTAATAGATTTAAGGCTCGTATGATTTCTGCTGGAAAGGCACCAGAGTGGTTCCAGCTGGGCAGAAGGAAACAGAAACCCCTCCACATCCTCAGATTGCTCCTAATGAAACAGCTCAGAGCTGAGGGCCACAAACATCTCGCTGTCAGTTCACGTCAACGTCCGTCTTTCTCTGCTCGTTTTCCTGCTTCTCGTTTGACTGAACTTACTTCACACGCAGTCCTTCCTCCACACGGTCACTGACTGAGTTGAAGCCCGAGCTACAATCCAAACTGAAAACCATTAAAGGTCTGGCATTCTTTGAGGGACTGTTCAGTTTTTAAACAAAAGTTGTCAAAAGCTGAGAAACTTTACGTAGAGTTTCAACTGTTTTCATCAAATCTCTGTGCTGCTTTTTTATTGATGTTTGGTGTTTTTTATTTATTGGTGGTATTTGCTTTTTTGTTTGAAGTAGATGCAAATAAGCCTAAAGCTAAATCTGGTGCAATGTATCGAATGTTTTATGTTTTATTTGCACACTGTCCTGATTAGCTGTAATATTAACAGAGATTTTTTGTATTCGATAAGACAGCTGTGCGACGGCAGCCATCTTGAATTGAGCCAACTCCAAAGTCTCTGGCAGTTCCAATAAATCTGTAACATACCACAGGCCCTGGAGCAGTGTGGTTATCCTGACTGGGCTTTCCTGAAAGCAGACAGGAAACACAGACAGGATTCCATGCAACCTTCAGGTGAAAATGAAGACCCCAAACTCAGACCCAAACCAGTGGTTATTCCATATGTTGCGGGTGTTTCGGAGAAACTGAGACGTTTATTTTCTAAACATGATGTCCCAGTGGCTTTCAAACCCCA